ATTTAAAATACATACAAAACAATACAAATTTAAAATTAATTAAAAAGAATATTAAATATTTGTCGAATTTAAAATATAATTAAAACCCCCCTAAAAATTACCCTAGGCCAGTCCTGCAAGCTGGAATAACCAAGTCTTGAGGGCACGGCGAAAGGAAGGGAGATCAGGGATAACCCTGATCTCTGGGGGCAGTTCATTCATCACAAGAGGTGAAGTTTGTTGGCTTGAGAATTTGTTACTGATCCAAAGATAGTTTCATAGTTAAAGAGGGGCTTGAGCCTGGGTCTGCTCTGTCTCAGTCCAATTATATGAGCTCATGTAAAACACATTTCTTCCCAAGCCTCGTTCTTTGCCTCTAGTTGGACTTGTTTTCAGTATCAGAATTTAGGAAAAAATAGTTTTAGAAGTTAAATACAGTGAGGTCATAAATATTTTAATCTTATTAATAAATAATGATTTTAACCTTAAAAGTAGATTTTCCAGCCCTACTTTATAGATACAGTACACGCAAAAGTTTTACAAGAAATCCAGCTTTGTTTTTGATCTTAGAACACTGGCCACAAAGATATTGAGATGACCTCTAGAGGTTTTAAAGCAGGTTCTTCCACAACTGGGGTTCTCCAAATGCTCCCTTTGCTTATGAGCCCCTTCCCAGTATGTCTAATTAAGATAGTAGGTAGAAAAGATGAGGTATAAACAAAATGAGAAGCATTTTGGGGGAGCAGATCTACGTGTACACCAGACCATTCGCAGCATTAATGTAGGGATATTCTTTGTGTTGCTTTCCAATAAATAACCAGTAGAGATGATGGTACTTTTAAACCTTTACCTTTGCACCAATTAGCATAACAAAATGCTGTGCCACAATGAAGAACCACAGTATTATGCAATTCATAAAGAAGCCAACTCTTATCTACCATTTAAAATTGAATAATGCTAACAATCATCACTGTTCATGCTTTATGGCACAAAAACATAATAAAAATAGAGATTATTAAAATAATTTCAATGCAAAATTAGAAGATTTAGACCAGATATAAAATTTTAAGCAAGTTTTGTCTTGAGTCAAAATCTGAAGCTCAACCACACCTAAGAAACTCAGTATTGTGTATCAGAATGCTAATAAAATACTCAAATACAATATTCAATTAAGCTATTTTGATAAAATGTAAAATAATTACTCAACTGAAGTATATAAACAGTATTAAATGTTCACCATATCTGAGCAATTCCATCTAATTTTTGTGCATATACAAAGTACTTTGTAACAGAATGCTAATAAAATATTCAAATATAATATTCAACTAAGCTGTTTTGATAAAATGTTTAATGCAATATGTAAAAAACTTTTAGTACAAAAGTCCACTCTTAAGTATCCATCATAATAAATTATCTGGGTATGCTAGAGGACTAAGAACATTATATTAAAACAAACAATAATTATACTTACTCTGGGTACATGTGCGTCCTTCCCAACCTTCTTTACAAATGCAAGAAAAAGAATCTCCACTGCCAACACAAGTTCCACCATTCAAACAAGGATTAGGAATACAGCTGCTGTTCTTTGCTATAATTGAATTTTAAAAAAAGGTTTTTTTCTAACCATGGGGACTTTCATTGATAATATTAACCGACATGCCAAATAAAAATCTACATTGTTACAATCATTTTAATCTAGACCATGAAGTAGATTAGCACAGTACTTAAAATAATTAGCAAATAACCCAAGTTCTACATCAGATGCTAAACCAAGCCTCTATCAAAAATTATTTATATTTTGTTTAACAGCTATCATTAAACCAGCCAGCCAGAGTCTGATCAATGTCTTTGTTAGCACCATAGATGGGATTTTTGATAGATTTCAGTTTTTCAATCTTACAAAGCAAACTCCCAGCACATTATCCAAAACTAGCAATCCTCCAAGTGTGACTTCCAGGAGTTCTGGGAAGTCAAATAAATATTCTAAAATTTCTTAGTTTTAATTTATAACCTAATAACTATTGATGGATATAACCCACATAAACCAAAGCTCTTTGGATCTTCAATCATTTTTAAGAACACAGATGGGTCCTGAGACCAAAATTTTTCAGAACCAGTATTCTAAACTATTCAAAATATTTAATTTTGCCATGTTGATCAAGTAGTAACCTGACCATTATTTCTGCCTATCTACAGTGCATTCAGAAAGTATTCAGACCCCTTTCACTTTTGTCACACTGCAGCCTGATTCTACACTTGTTGAAATTCATTATTTTTCATTAATCTATATTCAGTGAAAACAGAAGTTTAGAAATGTCTGTAAATTTATTAAAAAGAAAAGACTGAACTATCACATTGGCATAAGTAGTCAGACCCTTCACTCAGCAATCACAGCCTTGAATCTTTTTTTTTTTTTTTCAAAGAATTTTTTATTGTTTTCAGCATAGAAAAAAAACACATCACAAGTACATCACAATTGAAAAACCCCCCCCACAGAATGAAGAAACAGACTACTTATATTAGCTTCTCAACCAAGTAATTCTCTCGATTTAAAGACAATATAAGTAGATTAAGCACTTACCAATATTGCAAGTGCTTCCTTTCCATTCTGGAGGACAAGAGCATCGAAAAGTGTCACCATCATCGTAACACGTTCCTCCATTTGTACAAGTGTTTGCATCACACTGGTACTTACCTAAAATATCATAAAAGCAAATTAAAGCAGCCTATCAAATATACTATAGAATTCATTGCTATAGAAGGTAGGGATATTATTTGTTACATGGGATTATGCACATTATTACACCCTGAATTCAACTTACTTTCTATTTCAGGTGTGCAGTGCTTCACATTCAAAGACAAGAACACCTTTCTTCTTGGGATAATGCTGCAAGCTATGTAGGGCCTAATCCCAGGAAAATATGGAGCTGTTTTAAGAAGCTGCAGAGAGGTGCTATTCAAGTGCTACTACCTCATATGAAGCATCATTTTGCTTTTATCTGATGCGAAGCGCTATTTTGCTGCATTGCCCTTTCTAAATAAAATTATATGTGGAAATAATTTCAAATGGCATTTTATGAACATTAATTTTAAATGGGGACTAGACAGAAGCTATAATTTATAACTTGATATTTTATTATACTCTTCCCTATATCCAGATCGTTTCATTTGTTAGACTTAATTGTAGATTACTTTTTTCATCACATTTTTTTACAATTCTTAAAAGCTTTCTTTTCAACTTTTGAATATTTTAAGCGGTAAACCACAACACACTTACTTGAGTGGCATGTTTTCCCCTTCCAGCCATTTTTGCATGCACAATAGAAATCATTCTCTAAATCAATGCACTGGCCTCCGTTGTGACATGGATTTGGTGAGCAGTCATTAAAATCTGTAAAATTCATAAAGAATTGAACAAAAAATATCTGTAAAAAGAAGAATCTTCATAAATAACAATCCATTAAGCCATACATAATCTAGTCTCATTAATCTGGATTTAAATGCTACAGATCCTTGGATACCTTTGAGTAAATTAATGTGGGTCACAACTTAATCTGTATGATGCAAATCCAAATTCTGTTAATTAAATGGCAATGAACAAACAACAACTGCTGGGTTTGTACAGTATGTTAAAACCAAACTGAAATACTTTATTACTTAGCTCGGTAGAGAATCAGTGTAAGGATATTAGACGAGAGCTAAAGAGGACCATCCAAAATTCAAGTATTTCTTAACATAAGATTTTAAAATATCAAATTCTGTCTGATTGGTTTTCAAGATAATATTGACTATCTCAGATTAGCTAGAAATTCTTGTCAACTTTATGTTTCTTTTTATTTTGGTTGACTTTTATTGATCTTTAACTTTAATAAATGTTTTAAAGCATGTTTGATATGATTATTATTAAGATATATAATCATATATCTATTATAATAGTATAATAGAGGAATGATCTTTCTTATTAAAAATGCACATTCTTATCTAATTTTTATAGTCTTTAAATCTTTCTTTGTATTTCTTCCCCCAGTTCTATTGTTTCTTTAAAAATAAAATAAACTAGTTATCACATATCTTGACATGTGATTGAGAATTAAGAATATAAATCTAAATTTCTTTTTTAAGTATCATAAATAAAATCCCTAAGAACTGCAAGTGATAAAAAGATTTCAATGTCTAACTTAAATATATTAATATTTAGCTGTACTCACTAATGTCACACAATTTTCCTTCCCAGCCATTCCGACAGAAGCATCTGAAATCATTGATTTCATCTATGCAAGTTCCACCATTCTTGCAGGGTTTTTCAAGACAGTCATCAATATCTAAAATATAATAATACAAAATTACTAGATTACTATCTGTTTGTTTTATAGTGACTGTTTGGAAGAAACACAAATACCTTAAACAAAATTCTTCAACAATCATTCAAAATTAGTAAATACAAAACAAATATGAAATTAATATGAGGAACAAAATGTTCCATTTATTTCAAATAATATTGTACCTCAAAAGATCCTTTCTAAATTAATCTGGTGCTTAACTGAGCCCAATGTGGTGAGTTTTGTTTTTCTACTCCAATAAAATAAGTCTGATGTGATGACTTCTTCTTTTGTTCAAAAAGCTACCATGTAACAATTGGTAACAATTGTTTATTTAAACAGTCTAAAATCTAGCTACATTTAAGATGTTATCTGAATGGGCTCGTGCTTTGTGAAGTCTTTATTACTTTGTGGGGTTTTCCATAATCTGAAAAATGTTAGCTTGTTGCAGAACAAGAATCACATTTATAAATGCTATTTATGACTTAAAAGTTTTACTACAAAGCTTAAATTTTATCAAATGTGGCCAAGTGTTTAATGGCAGGTTGTGGGCCAGGAAACCAGATACCAGGCTGCTCTGTTTCTTATTTTCTCTCTGAGCTCTCTTCACTCAACAGTGATGTTATCATTACTGTTGTAAAGCTAGGACAAGCTGGAAATTCTTGCCAAAAATCAACCAAGATTCAACATACATTTCACTACAAAGTGCTTTTTTTGGACAAAACCTTGGTATGACTGAGAAAGGGCAAGAGTGAGCTCTTGTAAATTTGCCAAACAACAACAATCTAATCATTATACAGTGGATCTTTAAACAGCTCACCAATGAAAAACTATCATTTAGTATTTGTACAACACAAAAGCTGTTTGTGCAAAACCACCTGCCCATCTCCCTACTGAGAGCAAATGGTTACTATTCATAGAAATAGCCATTCACGATCAAACTCTAAGTCTTCAACTAACTTAGACCTCTAAATCCTATATGTACTTATGGAATCACTTTAGACTGTTAAGAAACAACGTTTTATAAAGTAAGGCCAAGTACTTTGTTTTTTAATAATATATTTTTTTCTTTTACATACTTTCATGACAGTACGCTCCAGTAAAGCCCTTTTCACAGGCACAAGTAAAATTTCCTCCTGGTTGACTGATGCAGCGTCCATGAGGTCCACATACACTGGATGAGATTAAACGAATGCCATTCCGAGTGGCATTTGTGAAGACTTCTATTGTACAGCTGTCTATTACTAGGAATAAGAGAAAATTATGCATATAAGCTACTCTCTAGGATAGAAGGCC